AGTGTAAAATAAAAGTGTTTCGGTGTATTGTGGTGATTTAGTGTTTTTATTTTGCTGTGTAACACCAAAGGTTCCAACCCTCAACTATAAGAGGTTCTAGACCAGAATGTGAGTGTATTTACAGTTCGTCGAATCGTAGGTATACAAAATCTAACTGTCAATATGGCATTAAAAGAATAGTCACCAAATCCACCTCGTCATACTAAAAAATATCATTAAAAAGTCATAACTGAAAAAATTGAAAATTGCTGGTGGTAAGTTCATTTCAATCTTAAAAATTAACCAAGGCATGTGTTGATATGACACAAACAAAATTTTCAGTGGTCATGGTTCTGACTGAAAAATAATATTTAAGAAAAATTTACTTACGAAATTATCGCAAAACGTGTTAGTTAACACCAAGTTGACACTGAATGACAAGCCAAATACAATTTTTTTTTGAAAATTGAGTTTACCAATTAAAGTAGATATATCTATAATCTATAGGCTTGGTGCATTCTCCGCCGGTGCTGCCACCATCGGAGAATATCGTAAACAATCAATATATACAAATACACAGCTTTAAATAGCGAGTATACGAAAAATTTATTATTTAATTTTCTAAAAGTGTTAGGGAGTAGAATGAGCAAAACTGCGATTTTCCAATCGCAGTTGAAACTGCGATTGTGATTTATAAATCGCTGCGACTGTAACCTGCGATTGCGATTTTGATATTTTTAAATTGGTACGCTGTAATCTGGGAAGCTCAATCCCAAAATTTCTAATAAAAAACAGAATAAATAGCGGAATAATTTTTTTTAATAAAAACTTACAAAGAAACTGTTGGGTGTTTCGATGCCATGTGCCTTTTAAAATTTGTAGTGCGTGTTTTTTATGATATTTTTGCTGCACACATATTGCACTTAAAATTTTCATCAATTACCTACCAAAATAAATCCACAAATAACTTAGTTTCCTTTTTTTAAACATTTTTGATTAGAACAGACCGAATAAATTTAAAAGGAAAATTAAAAATACATAAAATGTTCAAAATATTCGAATGTGCTTTTAGACAGTAGGTATACTAACGAAAAATTTATTATAAAAAGGTTGCCGCCAACCTTAATTCAGATAACTAAAAAAAAACCTGTTTATTTTATCTTGTTTTCTTTTAAAAACATTTTCTTTATATGTAACTCAAAAGAAGCCGACACCGACGGCTTTGATACGGTCCGTCAGTGTGCAAACTTTCGAACTTTTAGATAAATAAAAGGACAATATCACATTTTATTATATTTAAAATTTCTCTAAAATAAAAAAACTGATTGTAAAGGATGTATTTAAATTAACATAGCAGCCGATCCACAACTGTTAGTATATTCAGAAAATTATATTATATTATGGATTGTTATAAAAATGTTTATAATAATATAATATATAACAAAATATAATAAATAAAAAGGGCTGTTTCTTTTCCGTGCTCTATATCTTCTAGTAAATAAAGGATAAAAATAGATAATTTTTTATAATTTGAATCCAAAACTGTCCTTATGAATCATTTTACCTGAATCATTACCTGGGAGCAACTGTAACTATAATTAGTCATAACCGAAAACAAGAATTTTTTAACCTTCTCAATCCCATAATTATATTATAAATCTAAAACTATTATCAAAATTTAAAACTAATAAATTATATATATTATGCGGTATATAAACATATATAAGCCTATTTTCCAACGCTTCATAAAAATTACGGGGCCCTGATTGCGAATGTGATTTTGCGATCTAGTCTAGGCCGATGTGTTGGGAGCTGCGAACGAAAATCGCAATCGCCGCTCTTCGTTGGCGTGCCCACTCCCGATGCCGCGCCGCGCCGGTGCCAACGAAAATCGCAATCGCAATGCTGGGATGAGCTGCGATTTTCGTTCAGCTCCTCGTTCGCCTGTCCACTACCGTGTTGAAGACGCGCCGCCGCCGGCCGGGGCGTACGAGGATCGCAATATTGCGATTTTCGTTCGCAGCTCATCGTTCGGTTTGGTTTGGTTTGGTTTGCAAATCGCAACTAGTGTAATATTGGTTGCCTAAAAATCCAAAATCGGCAGATATATGTTTCAATCGCAAGTCGCAGTTTGCTATGGAAAGGAATCACAGGTTGCGATTACGAATTTACAATCGCTGCGATTAAATCGCAGTTTGCGATTTTCTGCTCATCTCTATTAGGGAGTATAATTTGTGAAAATTCTAAATATAAAAATAAAAAAGTAAATATTTTTATATCTTCGGAAGGTTAGGGTAGGTTAGGTCTAGATTCAGATTCAGATTTTTTCCATTGAAGCGCTACGATCAGAATTTGTTGAAATCAACTGAAATGCACCAAGTCTATATACAGTTTACTAAAAAAATTATGAAAACGGGATTAAAAATAAAAAAATGTGGCACAAACTTTTTTTCTGTCTTAATAAATATAAACCCACTGTAACTGCAAAATATTATAAATACTATAAACCCACTGTAACTTAAAACGAGTCAATTTTTAAATTCTAATCCTCATTTTTACTGGCAAATATCTTAGAAATTATAATTATTTTAAATTATTTAGAACTTTGTAATTATTATAAAGTTTGGTAGTTAACTCATAGTAGTCACTTAATCTGGTGTGGTAAAGTGATTCATTTAAAAAATATATAATTGATGTACAGGAATCACAAACTCAATCAAATACCTAACACAGAGTACCTAGATTAAGTTGGCAGGAGTTTTTTTTCACAAAAACTGTAGTCTAGTATCAAGATTTTTAACCATCTTTCGATGTAATATCCAAAAAACTCTTATTTAAATGAATTTTTGAATATCACTATATTTTATACTTCTTTCTACCATATGATCGAATAAAAATGGCGTCCAGTTGGCTGGGAAATGACGATCAATGGCATTTCCCATATAAATTTACATATAAAATGACAGCGATCTTCATTTCATAGCCATCGCTGACGCCGTTTTATTCGATCATATGGTATTTCTGTGATACTATACTTGTATTCATTTAAAACTTCCCAATATGGCGGACTTCAGTATGGGAGGCTTAAAAAACGAAAATCTCTAAACTGGAATCGACTGTACTTCAAATCGTTCAAATTGATAATCTGTGGTAAATCAAATTGAACTCTGACACTTGGCTAACATTGACGTTTACGGTTCCTTTTTCTAAATATTTTCATTATTTTTTTGAGTTTTTATTCACAAATTCTACTTGATTTTGTTTTTTTATTTAACCTGCAACCTGCAGTACTAATTATATAGTTATAAATAATCTTTTCACCGATCAAGAATTGGCGAATAGGTTAGAAGATATTCAAAATGTGTAAAACGCTCAAAAACGTATTAGAAAACATTGACTCGTTCACAAATTTGTGAAAATAAATTTGTCCAGATGTTTGTAAAATGGTCTCTAATTATTTTGAGAAATTTCCTCGTATCAGTAATTTTCAGGTTTGTAATATGTATATGATAATAAATAGATTAAAACTTATATTTCAGGAAACAGCGCGGGCATTACAGATTGTTGTAAATCAGTTTTAAAATATAAAGAAGGTTTAAAACATGTTTAAAAGTTGAGTTAGTAGAGAAGACCTAAATAAGGTAATGTTGGTAATGGGACCAAACATCAAATAACACTTGAAATATATAATTATGTACAATAATTGTAAGTAGTTTTTATGAATCTGTATGATATCTATTGCATTGTTTTTATATTTCTTGAAATATATAATTTTTTACTTTACAGGATACACAAAGAATAAAAAAAAATACAGTTACTCACTAAAAGCACTTAAGGTTTGTAATAGATCTAGTTAGAATATCAAACACCAAACCAAACCAAAAATTATGTTTTATTTTACTGGTATTCCTCACATTTGAAGGGAAAGTCATTTCATAAATAAGCAGGACATTGTATAGTACACTCTATATTAATAATTGTTTTTTATCCTATACTTGTTAGTTAACGCCATCACTTACTAGGTATAAAATTTAGTACTGATTAACCTATAGTTGTGGTTGTGATATATTCTGATGTGTTTCTGGCAATTTAAAATAAGTTAATATTTAAACAAACATTTCTGGCTTTCCTCACAGGAGTGTGGACACAAATTTAATAAAGGTATAATGTGGATAATGTTCTGATTATTACAGTTTGCATGGATGTTTTTGTATGGTGTTATTTTTAATAAAGTATATTTAATGAGTTTTTGAGTATTTCTTTTTTCTTCAGAGGATTGTGTTCTAATCTTTATATATTATAAATTTTCATAAATTATATCTACAAAATGTATTACCTAATATTTTTTTGCTAAATACTTTGTAGTTGATACAGTTTAACAGTATATAAAAAAATTATTTAAATAAGATGTTTGAAAATATATAGCTGTTTTTGCACACATCAATTCAATTTGTGATTAACTGTACTGAAATAAAAACAAATTAAGAGAAATAGGGTGATCTATCAACTATAACATGAAAAGCATCATCCTATTTCCAAGTCTTCTATTAATTTCACTTATTAAACAACTATAATTATTCAATAATCTTGATAATTCTAGGAACTCTCAGATATCGTCAAAACATGAAAACAAAATTCACTTCCTATAATTCTTACGTCCCTTTAACTGAAATATAAGAAACAGGGGAGTTAATATTCTCACTGAGAAAGTTTATAAAATACCTTTAAGTAAAATCTCTTCGGATCTGCGGTAAAATACCTTTATTCTTATTAAATAATTTCAATAATCTATGTTTTTATTTATGATAACCACCTAATAACCTAACTTTAACGTCAACTTGACAATCCTAAAAAATATTATTGTTAACCAAAGAGTAAATCAATTTCTGAATTCGCTAACGCCAACTTATTTTCATTAAAAAAAAATTACCAATTTTCGTAACTAGGTCGGCCATATTGAGGAACTTTTAAAAGAATAGTACTATATTAAAGTTACATAATTTTAACAAAATGACACATACCTTTTTCTTTGCCAATTCCTCTCTCTTTAAATTTATTAAAGATTCTGGTATGCCCGTTGGGTTTTCTTGTGCAGATATAAGTAAAGACCACAATTCTGCCATAAATTCACGTGCATTCTTCTTCTCCAAAAATCCCGTTAAATTAATCTGTATTTTCTTAGGATCAGGATACTGAAACAAATAATTCCATTGAAATAAATCCTTCTGATATGTCTATGTATTATTAGCATAAGTAATAAAAAAATAGTAAATTAGGTAGATTAATAAATTATACTAAGTTAATTTTGTACCTTCTCTTCTAATTGGTTATATACAAAATTGATAACTACATCATCATCGATTTTCAAGATTTCAGTTAATTTATCTTGAATCCAAGGCTTTATAACATCAAGTTTAATTTTTGTCATATCAACCTAAAAACACATTAATTTTTATATTATAAAAAAAAACAGTGAAATACAATATAGACCAGTTAATAAAATAATATTTACCCTTTGAGTTAAACAGTCATTGAACTTCATCTGCTTCAAGAGTTTCTTCTCTTTATCGCTGAAGCGATTATCTTGTTCTGTTGTAGTACCCTATAAATAAAAGCACATGTAACTATTAACTCTTAGTATTTTTGCTATAATCGTGTATTTTTAAATCAAAGTTAATATATTTATAAATTAGTTGAAGCTTTGATTATGAATAACGTTAAAGTTAATCTCTTAGTAAGCAAGAATGAACTTACCGTGTACATTATTATACAAATCAAAAGATAAAAATAATTATTTCAGTACCGGTACAATGGTACCTTAACTCTGATCTACAAATACAAAATTAGCAAAATTAATTCATAAGATTATACTATACATAAAACATTTCTATTCGCGGATCAGAACAATATTTATCCTACTAGATTAATTATTAATCACAAGAAAAAGTAATAGAAGTGATACAAAATGGCGCTAAACTAAAAACGCAACGTATTGACGTTAGCCCCGATGGCCCCGATCCCTCTACGCGTTCGTTAACGATCGGTTGGACCACAGACCACGGTTGGACCTTAGGTTGGACAGTACCACAGAACATAATTAGTTAGAAGGTAGATTCACTACCACGGATTAAATAAATCTATCTCATAGAGACGGAAGAGTATTCAAATCAACAGGCCGGATAATCCGTGCAGCTGTGCCCTTAGAACAAGGAACTATGACCAGGGTTTGGAAGTAGTTAATTAAAACGTAATTTACCTGATTAACTACGCATTTAACTACGTGTAGTTTTTGTTCAAAAACTACGTCTTTTCCCGTTCATTAACTACATCAAATCTACGTTAATAAACTATCTATTGATATTATGAATAATTTTGCTTTGTATGAGCACGCGTCCACTAGGCCGAACGGAATCCGTTCGCCATAGTGTGCGCCCCTTGATTGATTTGTATTTGTATGCTTTTATTTCGGCCGGAATCTCTTCTGTTCTGATCATCTCGTTTCCGACAAGTGAGCACCAAGTCAAAGACCAAGTTTTACACGAGTCGTCAGAGTCCGGCTTTATAGTACGAGAGCTAGCAACGTCGGGAAAACAAGAGTAGTTATTTTAAGAAATCTGGCTCTTTAATATATCTTTTACTATGCTCTCTGGAACAGCGTGCGAGCCGTCTGGCAGCCGGTAAACGTTGCGTTTAGTACTGCACATTGAAAGAAGATCCTATAAATATTTTTTATTAGTCCTTTAAATTCTAGTACTGGTTTTCACCTATGAAGCGAGGAGTCCGAGTTCGAGACCAGCTCGAGGTATAAAACTTTTTTATTTTAATTTCGTTTATATTACAGGCGGAAACTCTGCTCGCTCCGTTATGGAGACTTATTCGATTTATATTCAATACTAGAATTTAACGAACTAAATATAAAAACATACAGGGTGGTCCGAACTGTATTCCGGAAACTTCGGGGGCAAATTGTGCAGATAAAAATAAGTAAAAAAGTTCGTATAAATGTATGTCCTAAAATGTCCAGTTTCGGAGATACAGGGTGTAGAAGTTTCATTTTTATTTCGATTTATCTCAAATAATTTCTAAAGTAACGTCAATATTTAGATGAAAATTGGTGTCTGGGAGTTTTTTTTACTTTAGAAATAATTTGATTTTGATGTCAATATTACTCCTATTTATAGAGGGCGGGGGCGCCACTTACATGTGTTTTGATTGTTTTGAAGAGTAATAACTTTTCGTTGTGTTAAAGTGAAAAAATTTGCATTTACGGTGTTTTTTACGTAACAAAGGTCTCTTGGTAAAAATAGCTATGAGTAATGGCAAAGAATATTATAGTTAACACAATAGAAAACCCATCCCGTGTAAAATTTTTGGAACCAAAAAGGAGCCCGGCTTTTTGAGCCGGGATCCATCGAGGCGCCGCAACGTTAAAAAGCGATTCCTTCCTTGTCTATGTTGCCAAATCGTACGCCCAATAATGCTACCGGCACACGCGGCGGCCCGACGGCGATCATCAAAGCCTTCCGTATTCCCCCGCACCTCGTTGTGAAGGCTTCATGGTGTGCTCATTTTTTATATTTTGAATTGTGGATTTTGCTTTATTATTTTGTATTATTATATTTTGATTTAAGTTATCGTGTTTTAAAAATATATCGGACAATGTATGTCAATATTACCACAGTTTAAAGATTATAAAATATATTTTATATTCTTTAAACTGTGATATTACAATTGCAGACTATCAAGGAGGGACAATCCTTATTTAAAAATGTTTAGGTTCCCTTATAAAAATCGAAGTATATGCGAACGTTGGATTTTAAATTCGGGTAAACAGAGGCGTGACTGAATATTATGCTGGATATCTTCTAAAAAAAATGCAAGATAAGATTAATTGTTTAGAGTGCAGTTCAAAATTTCACAACCAAGACCTTATTGCTCATCAACTCGATCCAAAAAAAACTTTTTACTGAACAAATATTATGAGGTGGACAGACTTTTCCTAATTGTGCCATGTACAGAAATTTCGGACTTAGTCCAAAAGATGTTTATTTTGTCAAAAAAACTTTTTAATGAATATAAAGAACATAAGAATATTTAGGTCTTAAAATAAAAAGCAAAATTATTGAGATTTGGTTATGTAGTAAGGAAAAAACATGCTACCCACACAAACTTTTTTTAATGAATTATTTAATTATTACTAATATCTTCAAATTTTGCAAATGGGAAGAAGTTAAAAAAATGACAAACAAAAACTAAAAAGTTTAAAAAATAAGTAGAATTTTAGCATATCTACCCTACAGAAATAACAATTTTACTAGTTCATTTGAGCCCGTTAATTAGATATTTTAGGGCCATTTTTCTGACGGTTCTGCTTTACAATCTAGATCCGCCTCATCTGGGGATGCAAAACAATTCATCCCAAAAAAATTGATTTTAGATACTTGTTGCAAAAAATTCCCTTTTTACTATTTACACTGTTACCGCCAAATCTTGTTTATTATAAAAAATTAGATTGTCTTATTTGTGATTTGTTTAGTAAAATAAAATTATTTAATTTGTTGGCATAAATTTTAGAATAATTGTAGATTTCCTAAGATAGGTACCTAACTTAACCGGTAATTACTTGTTGTCTGATGTAAATAATGTACAGTATTAGCATTTTATTTTGTCCCATTTTTGCCAGGCTATAACTTTTTCTATTTTTGTATAGAACATTCATTAAAAAACAAATTTTAGGGCCTTTAGTCAAGTTTTATTGTTTATTATAATCAATAATGTCATAAGTTGCCAAATGTCACCGTTATTTGTATGAACAATTTTTTTAATGGGACACCCAGTATATTTAAAGTGTATTTATACAGGGTGTTTCAAATAACATGTGCCATATCTCGTGGGGAGACTTCTCACGTAAAAATAAGATTAATTTTTCATATCAACATAGGTCCAATTCCGCTTTGTTTCGTAGCTACAGGGTGTTAAAGTCTTAATATTTTTTCGATTGATTATAATTTTCTTATATTATTTCTTTCCATGTACTTTTTGGCGTTTTGAATGAAATTTTCAGGGTAAAATTTACTATAAATGCGACATATTCACCAGGGACGTGCATATGGGTTATCACTGGAATATTTTCTTAAAAAATCATGTACGCCAGTGACTTTTTTTTCTCTTGTTAGCGAAATAGTGTAAGTAGTTTAATGCCGATTAAAAGTTGTCTCTTGATATTTTGTCGATTTCGGCCTCCTTGATGAGATAAACGCAAAACGATATCCTCATCAATAAATATGAAAAAAAGTTCCTATAAGCATGGGTATGGAAATGCATAGTTTTAGAGTTACAGGATGTTAATTTTTTTTAAAATTAGGTTTTTTGTTGTTATCTTAATAACCAATATTTTTTTTTGTTTGAAATTGCTGTATGTTGGATTAGTTTGATGTATTATTACTAGTAGAATAATGACATAGTAATAATAGTTAATAATAAATTAGGTAGAGATATAATTAATTAATTTTTTATTTTTATTTTATTAATTATTGTGATTAATAAAATTGCGTTTACCTCATTAAGAAGGCTGAATTGGACAAAATATCAAGAGAATACTTTTAATTGGCATTAAATGGCCTACACAGTTTTGATATCAAAAAAAAAGTCCGAGGCGCACATGTTTTTTTGCACGTCCCTGATGAATTTATTGACGCTTTTTTGGCATTAAAATATGTAACACTTATAGTAACTTTTACCCCAAAAATTTAATTCAAATCACTAAAAGTACTTGGAAGAAAATTATAATAAATCGAAAGATTATTAAGACTTTAACACCCAGTAGCTACGAAACAAAGCAGAATCGGACCTGTTGATACGAAAAATAAGTCTTATTTTTATGTGAGGAATCTCCCCACAAGAGATGGCACATGTTTTTTGAAACATCCTGTATAGTACATTTTTATTCTGTTATAAAAATTAAATGTATCACACATGTTCTTTCTTTCAACAGTTTTATCGAAATTCGAAAAAATTATAAACCAATGTTAATATGTAATTTGTTTCAAGTTCGGTAGTTTTTAAAGGGAAACCCTGTATATTTTTTTATTTTATTTGCCTTGTTATGAGCTTTCTACAAATATAATATACTTATTTGTCACAAACAAGGTAAAAAATGCACTTTTTAACTTTTTAACGTGAATAAACTTGTTTAAAAGAGATTATTATTTTATTTTATTTTATTTAATCAGATAATTATGCTTTCCACGGTGTTATCTTAATAAACTGCACTGAAAATGAACTTGTGTAATTTTTACATAACACGGCTGTCAATCAGAGTTACAGAAACTGTTGATGCACTTGTGCAATAATTTTACACACAGAAGCGTGGAATAACCAACATCTAAAATTTGAAGTCGAATAAATTATTCGATTGTGTTGATTACGCAATTCAAACAAGCCGCGTATGTGAAAAAGTTAAATGTAATGCATTTTTTACCTTATTTATAAAAATAAATATAGATTACCTAAATTATATTTTTAGAAATCCCATAGGAAGGCAAATCAAACGAAAAAAATAATAAAATACTAAATAGTGAAAACCTCATCTTTGTACCTCTACTCATAAATGAGAAACCCTGTAAAACCATAAAATAATTAACTAGAAAGAAGTGTCAACTCTGTGTTAAATCGTGGAAACACGATACGCCACCGTAAGCCTTCGTTGTCGTCTGGAGAACTAATTTTCAATTGACAGGTTGACATGATGGCTTCATTTTTATTTCCGTTTCCGGTTATTCAATGGCGGGCACCTCTTTCAGTTTAAATGTATTTTGTACTCTTTTCTTATCATAAATAAAACAAAATAAAAATTTATTCAAACATATTTATTTGAAATGTGAGACAACGTGACTAAATAAATATAAAAAATAAAGAATTGAATGATTTCTATATCAATTACTTAATTATATGCAGTTTTAACGTAAATTAGTAAGGTATAAGCATGACTTACAGTAATTTGTAAATAAATACACGTATTCACAGCCTTCAGAAACAGAAAACGGGGGCAGGAACATGAAAACGGGAGCCTTATTCCATAACAAATCAAACCTGAAAACAGAAAAACACATTTTTTATACTAAAATTAACAATGTAAAAATATCAATATAGGTATAAAATATAAATATACTAATTAAAAAAGCTCCATTATTCCCAAAGAGACCTGGTTTATGAATCCAAAAGAAGTAAAAAGAGACTTTTAATCGGATAACAATCAGATTGTATCAGACAGATTTATTGTATTATTGACAATAAATCGCACATACTGGAGATAACTAATATTGGCTATAGTTAAAAATGATCTTACCTTGCTGTAAATTGTTTCCATTTTCAATAAAATCGCCGATCATAAACATATAACAAAATTTTCTTGCATCTAAAAAACATGGAAATGGTGTTTATTTACTACCTATTTTTAATGGGACATACCTAGTACATGGGACATACCTAGTACTGCAGAAACGTCTTTTTCTCAAGGATTTTTCATGTAATATATATTTTATATGCTTTATTACCTTTATATTTATAAATTTCAGGCGAAATATCAAATTGAATTTACAAAACAAAACTAAACGGAGAGAATTAAAATGGCGTCGAAATTTGTTCGATTTGTTCTAGAACAAATCTGTCAATTCTAAACTGTGAAGTTAGACAATAGTTAGACAGAAACATTGTTGTCCTTGTCTAGGCGGCCATACTTGTCGTCAGGAGATGACAGGAATGACACTAATGACTGTTTCCAATTTTCCTATTTCACTGTCACCCCCCTGTGTAAAACCATAAAATAATTAACTAGAAAGAAGTGTCAACTCTGTGTTAAATCGTGGAAACACGATACGCCACCGAAAGCCTTCGTTGTCGTCTGGAGAACTAACTTTCCAATTGACAGGTTGACATGATAAGGACATGATGGCTTAATTTTCATTTCCGTTTCCGGTTATTCAATGGCGGGCCCTCTTTCAGTTCAAATGTATTTTGTATTTTTTTCTTTTCATAAATAAAACCAAAAATAATTTATTCACACATATTTATTTGAAATATGGAACAACGTGACTAAATAAATATAAAAATATAGAGGATTGTATTGTTTCAATACCAATTAGTTAATTATATGCACTTTTAACGTAAATTAGTTAAGATATAAGCATGACTTACAGTAATTTGTAAATAAACACACGCATTCGCAAACTTCAAGGACAGAAAACGGACACAGCAATATGAAAACGGGATCCTTATACAAAAACCTGAAAACAGAAAAACAATTTTTTTATACTAAAATTAACAATGTAAAAATATCAGTAGGTATAAAATATAAATATACTGTTTAAAAAAAGCGTCCATTATTCTCAAAGAACCTGGCTTCAAAAAGATGCAAAAAGAGACTTTTAGTCGGATAACATAATCAGATTATCAGTCCGATTTATTGCATTATTGACAATAAATCGCACATACTGGAGATAACTATTGTTGGCTATAGTTAAAAATGATCTTACCTTGCTGTAGATTGTTTCCATTTTCAAAAAAATCGCCGGTCAAAGAGATTATGACACCATTTTCTTGCATCTAAAAAATGTAAAAACAGTGTTTATTTACTACCTATTTTTCATATACATGGTACATACCTACTACTGTATAAACGTCATTTTCTCCAGGATTCTTCATGTAATATATATTTTATATACTTTATATTCATTTCAGCCGAAATATTAAATTGAACTTCCAAAACGAAACTAAACGGAATGAATTAAAATGGCGTCGAATATTTTCGAATTTGTTCTAGAACAAATCTGAAGTTGTCTCTGAAACTGAAATCTGTCAATTCTAAACTCTGAAGTTAGACAATAGTTAGACACAAACAATGCTGTCCTTGTCTAGGCGGCCATACTTGTCGTGAGGAGAATGACAGGAATGACACTAATGACTGTTTCCAATTTTCCTATTTCACTGCAGGGCCAGTCAACTGAGATATACGACCTTGAACGATTTATTTTTGGGGTAGTAATTTCCTGGGGCGCTAGATGGCGTATTTTTATTTTAATTTTTCTAGTTGCCTAACAATTGCGTACAAAATTGTTTTTATAGTTGCCTAAATAGGCCTATTAATTATGTTCTGTCATTGTTCTGTATGTCAAATCAGTTTTTCGTTTCCGGCTTCCTCCTTCCTCTTCGGTTGTGTTTTGCAATTGAACGGAGATGTGCGTTTCGCTGTTTTCTGGTTGTTTGGCTGTGTTTTTTGCAATCTTCATTTTACAATCGTGATTTTGTATTTTTGAATTTTTTTGAACTTTGTTTTGTGTTTGATTTTTAAGGTCTTTATTAAAGGTAAGGTTTAAGTTAAAGGTCTTTGATTTATCTAACAATTTTATTTAATAATCCGAGAAAGTGAGGTGAGTTAACCTAACCAAGTCCAAATGTTCGTGAATTTTATTTTTTAACAATGTAATATTTACAACGCCATATATTTTTACAAAAAAAAAATTGATCAACTTCATATTTTTGTACATAAACTCCACAATGTGATATTACACAATTGTTCAAGTCCATATGTAAAAAATACACGTAAATAAAACATTGTTTCTAATGGACGTCACTTTCTCTTGTATTCCAACGATATTTGTTGTGTTCTTAAATCTGGTACTATAATAAATATTATACTTTTTAAACTGTTGTTTTATTTGTTTGTAAAATGTTTCATGGTATAATTTTCTGTAAATTAAATAAATTATTTATTGTAGGTTTTATGCACATAAAATGATATAAGCAAACCATTTAACACTTTACAATAGTTTAACCTGGTTTAACCTTTATATATAAATCCTTGTTTTTTACCATTTGACTTGTTTGCTAACTTGGGACCAATCAGATGACTACACATTATTTTGTAGAAATCTGATTGGCTCTAACTGGCGAACAAGTCAATACGTCTTGCTTAAAAATAAATTGCATATATTTAAATTTGCCGCCACCTTTGTTACTTTCCTGGGTGGCTAGATGGCGCCACTTCAATATACAGATTTCTTTACAAATTTGAAACCGTTTTGAAACTAAAAAATGCATGGGAGTTAGCGTTCTTCTTTAGTGTGTTCTGTGTTTCACTGTCACCCCCCTGTGTAAAACATACGAAAATGGGACACTCTGTATATACTATAAATATCAAAATGAAAAATACTTAATTTTTTTTCTCCTCTATAAGTCAATATATTTAAAACTTCTTTTCATTTAACTAATTTTTAGATTTAACTCGACAAATTTTTATTTTGTTTCTTTGATTGTCAAATGTTGTTATGTAGCTTTTTGTAAACATGAGTGTTATCTATTAAAATATGTTTAGTTTTAGTTTTTTTATTTCAAGTTAACTTGTATCAAATTTCCAAAAAAATTCTAAAGATAAATGTTAAATTCAATATAATTTTCTAACTAAATATAGATGTCTTCTAAAATACAGTTATTGGCAACGTCGCGTCTCGTTCACGAGGGTTTCCGCACGAAAAATTAAAGTTTACGTGTGCATTGATGTCTTTTGGCCGGTTCCGGCCGTCCCATTTACGTGGGTTATCTATTCGTAGTAAAATTATCTTTGGTAATGGTTATCAAGATATTTGGAATCGAAATTATAAATACCACAAAATACCTATCATCGTTGACATAAATTAAACATGTTGACTAAATAGTTTTAAGACTGAAGTCATAAATTTGATTTTTTTTGTGCCAAAAGTTCAACAGAAACTGTTTTATCATCATTTTTTTGAAGAAAAATTTATGATTAATTTAAAAAGATAAAAATTTCCCAAATTTATTATTTCAGTCCAATAACTATTATATCTATTCAACGTGTTTATTTTTTGTCAATAATGCCATGTATTGACTATTTCTACTCTAAATATCTTGAGAACAGTTGCTCGAAGCGATTTTTACCAAGACACATTTTTTACGTAAAAAATCACGAAAATGTATATTTTTCACTCGGTAGTTCTATACACGGCCCGCACGCTTTTCCAGAGAGCATAGTTAAAGATATATGAAAGAACCAGCTTTCTTAAAATACTTTTCGAAAACGTTGCTAGCTCTTAGAAAATGTATTATTCTTATTATTTATATATTGTTCGCTCTTATTAATTAAAATGTTCATATAAAATTTTTCATTAGGCGTGCAACTTGATGCCGATAACTTTCACTGAACAACTAGTTATTTAAAAAAAAACAAATAGTAACAAAAAAGACACATTTATTACATTTTAATTCTATAATACATACAGTTAATCACTTTTTGATTTCACAAGTTGTTTTCTAATTGTTTCAAATTTAAGTTTTAATTTTTGTACAAGAGTGGTTTCACATTTTTTCTTCAGAATTAACCTTTTTGTGGTAATATTATGTAATGGACCAAATGCTAAGGCAACTACGGTACAAGTTAAACAAATCACATTATATGGCATGCTAAAATCAGGAGTAGGTAATGTAATAACCATATTTTCTGTACGCACTTGTACTAAATATCCACTTCTTGAAGCATTAAATGAACTATAAATTGTGGAGGAATCCTGTGGTAAACCAGTGAAATTTTTGGCTAGTGGCAAATAACTTGATACAACTGCTGAGCCTATGTAAAACCCATGATTAGCATCTGGTGGGTATTCTTGCCATTTTAAAAATATATAATCGAAATCTACAGAAATTAAAGTTTCTGACAGTGGGGGTAAATTTAAAACCATTTCAATATAGTAAGGCCTTTCTCTTTGCTTTCCTGGAATGTATTTTAAGATTGTTGGTTTAAGTATTTCACCATTTGACACAATTTTTAATGTATGAAGGTATACTGGAACATACCAGGCAATGCTTTGAAGAAGAACTACTTCCAAAGCTGACCAGTGATTGTTATATATTTTTGATACAATGCCTCCCCTTTCTTGCCCATAACCAATTAAATACTGATTAGCATACAAAGAAGGAGGTTTTTTAACAAATATCTCATTATCATCTTCATATCTTCCACTAATACTTAAAAAATTGGGTGAAATATGATATAATGCATATTTATTAACAAATCCACCTCTAATTGATGTAACAACTTCATCTGGAGTTGGAGTTAAATCAAACTTCTTGCTATCAGAAGTCGATAAGTCAACATATATATTACTTCTGGATGAAAGAGGGCATTTTCCCTCTAAACCCTGACCAAAGAGTTTTTTAAATGACCAATTCCTTGTTCCTAATATAGCATAATCATATACTAAAGATACTGATAACTGTAATTCCAGTGAAACTGACTCACAAGTTTCTGTTCTACATATTGGTCGTAAATGTAAAGCAATAGAATGATATTTAGTATTATGTATGAACCCTGAATTAAGCAATGATGCTAATCCTAATTTTGAATCGCAGGGTAATAACTTTTTAAAAGGTGTTAAATTTTCTGTACACACAATTTCTCGGGGCAAACTTGCATACCTAAGGAAATGATTATATAGTGTACTTCATTAAATATAAAATTAATATTTATACCTTAACCAGGTGCTATTAACAGTAGTCCAATCGGTAGAACCTCTTGGTCTAAAGGAAAACTCAGGACTAATGCTATTAGAAACGTCAATAAAGTTAAATGAAGAACATAGTAAACCAGATAAAGTGTTTGCAAGTAATTTCCAATTTTGATCTATATCTACAGTATCTGGTTTGAACCAAGCCCATACTTCAGCACCTGGAGCAGCATCTACCACTGGATACCCCCAACTCTCGTATCTCCACAAACCACCAGTTAAACTAATATGAAGCTCATGAATATTGTGTCTTTCTATAATTTCACCCAAAGCTCGAGGGAACAAATGAGTGTGATGGTCTACAAAATAAAATATATTTAATAATAATGACTCTTACCAAAGTACCTATAAATGGAAAACCCATATTATATTTTAATTTAAAGATATGCTTTTATTAAATTTAAATAATAAGCTTCAATCAATTGCTATTATTCCCTTATATTCTTAGAAATAATATAATTCCCTTATATTCTTATAAATAGTAACATCTAGGAGTTCAAAACACCTATAGGTAAGAATAAATTAATTGTAATTTGGGAACTAAAAGACCATATTTCACTTACATTTTTTAATCGTAGGATCTTTATCCCATGTAACAGCAAACTGAAAATGAGCATATACTTGATCACTAAATAAGGGCTTTATCAGTAATTCTTCAGTGAAAGTATCATTTCCATAACACAATACAAGCTGAATCTTAACTAAGAAGCAGAGGATTAAAACAATTTTCATTGTGATCAATATACTATCATCATAAAATCGATTTTTTTCTGATAATTCTCTATAAACCCACTTCCGTATCTCTTTAATAACTTGGGTGCCCGAAAAGACTAGTGGGATGTAGAATGTAGACATTGTAGACGCTAGTTGGTCCCCTGTGGTTGGTCCTCTATGCTCTAGACTTCTTCTTCTTTGTTACTATGGCCATAGAATTCACAGTTTAAAGTGGGTTACGTCTCCTTTTTGCTGCCCGTGTTAATCACCAGGGCTATTCGAATGATAAATGACTCTAACTCAGAGCTCTAACATGGCTCTAACTACATAGCTATCAGAGAATAAGTACATTAATATAATAGCTATCAAGTCTACTGGAAATGCTAAGGGAATTGATATTTTATTTTATAACTATGGAACCTACTTAAACTGCTTAAACTATAATATATTTATTTTATATACCACAAAACAAACGGGTTCAGTAACATATAATAGACAGGGTAAATAATTCACGATATAAAGACTTTCGCTAAAGTTTAGGTAACCCATTTGTTTGACTGACGATCGCGGTTCGGATTCCTTGTAAACAAAGTAGGTAGTTCCCGTTAGCCATGACAGTCAAACAAAAGACATTAATTTGTTATTGTAGATCTATGATCTATGGATTTATTGCTTTTTAAAAACAAAAACACTTCAAACTCCGAGGCATTCCGAGTTCCGAGGTATATCTAGATATATTAAGTTTTTATTATGTATTTTAAGATATTGGGCAAATATTTAAGATATGGTTTATAGATATTTACTTATAAAGCAAAAAGATCATTTATTTGTTTTTGAAAGATTGGGGAAAAATCAATATCGCATAGAAATTTTGCGCATGATTTAAAGTATTGAAACGATCGCAATGGTGTTTTAAATGAATTTTTTGTTTGAGCTCATAGACTTAATAAAATATATTATTAATTCATAAACATCAATTGAAGTAAGTTTGGTATACCGTAAGTTTATATATCCAAGCATATCTCTTTTAAATTGCTTTGGAATTAATAATTTACTCTGACATTTTTTTTAATGTATCTAATTTTCACATATATTTTTAGTATGGATCTACAAAAGGAGCGTATTACTGAAATTATGGAAATTAATTTGAAAAAACACGAAGAGATAAAGAAAAATAATGAAACACAAATGACTTCAAGCACAATATCTACAATTTCCAGTCTAGCATCACCGGTCGATTCCGGAGTACAAATGTTGGACAGTGAATGTGAACTGACTTCTGTTATGTCAGGTGGATCTGGTCAGTTTATACTTAAGCAAAACTTAGTTTAGTGCCTATCATTACTATAAGTTTAAATTACACATCTAAAGCAAGTGTAATTTTATGATTTTTAAATATTACCAATTCCGCATTAATTGGAATAAACTATGAGTAATGTTTTATACAGTAATGAGACATTTCGTCCCTTTAGAGCAGAACTAGTCTATGTCCATTTTTGTCAAAATTGAGATTGTAATATATGAGATAAGTTGGTTATATCGAACATGGTAGTTGCATTTATACAGACAAAATAAAATAAGTGAGAGGGTATAATAATAAGAGTTTTTAACCTATAAATAATTTCAGGATTTGGATTTATTTTATTGCATGATTTTTGAAATAAGTACATTGCAAATACTAAAATTATAAACAACTTCTAAACTGAAAACTAAATTTTTAACGTATTGCTCATTTGCAAATGTATATTTATTATTTTATTTGGCTGTTTGAATGCCCCCATATTAGAACTAATCATTTCTTCTTTTTTATTTTATTTTGCTACTTGAACCCACCTTCAGTTGACAAAATCACATAAATACGCGTACAAACACAGAAACACAAGTAAGCTCTTCAACATGAAGAATATATAGGCATAATCTCGCTCTTAAATTGCAAGGATTTTAGTTCGTAAACTAGCCAAGAATCTTGCTATTTTGGGTGACTAAAACTAATGGAGTTATCGTATTACCCCAAATTATAAATGATTAATATACAAACTAACTAAAATAACTGGTTAATATGAAAAAAAATATATAAAATTATGACATTATCCAATACGAATATATACTTTGCAAACTAACTAGCCAGTTTGTAAACTAGCCGTTGGCTGTCTGCTATTTTGCAAGAATGGGCGGATTCCTTCAAAATAACAGCGCTTTTAGTTAGTTTGAAAAATAGCTGGCTAGTTTTAAAACTAGCCAAGTATCCTTCAAGTATCCTACCTAGCCGTAACATATACAGGGTGTTTCCAAAAACATGTGCCATCTCTCGTGGGGAGATTCCTAACGTAAAAATAAGATTTATTTTTCATATCAACATAGGTCCGATTCTGCTTTGTTTCAGAGCTACAGGGTGTTAAGTCTTAATAATTTTTCGATATATTATAATTTTCTTCCAAGTACTTTTAGTGATTCAAATGGAATTTTGAGGGTAAAAGTTACTATAAGTGCTACATATTTTAATGCTAACAAAATGTCGATAAAGTCATCAGGGACGTCATATCGGTTATCACTGGAATATTTTTCAAAAAAAAATATGTGCGCCACTGACTTTTCTTCTTTTGATATCAAAATTGAGTAGGCCATTTAATGCCAATTAAAAGTGATCTCTTGATATTTTGTCGAATTCGGCCTCCTTGATGAGATAAACGCAATTATTATTAATAAAATCAAAATAAAAATTAATAAATTATATATTTTACCTAATTTATTATCAAATATTATTACTATTAGTTATTATTACTATTAGTCCAACCTATAGCAAATTCAAATAAAAAAAATATGGTATTTAAGATATTTACAAAAAAACCTAATTTTAAAAAGGTTTTTTTTCATCCTGTAACTCTAAAATTATGCATTTCCATACCCATGTTTATAGGAACTTGTCTTCATATTTTTTGATGAAGAATCAATGAGTACTTATTTAAAAGTTTCACAAGTTAATGATATTAAAATTTTTAAAAGTTGCTATTAAACTTGTATCAAGGACTTGGCAAATTAAAAAAATGCGTTTATCTCATCAAGGAGGCCGAAATCGACAAAATATCAAGAGACAGCGTTTAATCGACATTAAACTGCTTACACTACTTCGCTAACAAAAGAAAAAAAATCAGTGGCGTACATGCCTTTTTTGAAAAAACATTCCAGTGATAACCCATATGCACGTCCCTGGTGAATATGGCGACACTTTTTAGCCTTAAAATATGTCGCATTTATAGTAACTTTTACCCTCAAAATTTCATTTGAAACGCTAAAAGTACTTGGAAAAAATTATAATAAATCGAAAAAATATTAAGACTTTAAACCCTGTAGGTAGAAAACAAAGCAGAATCAGACCTATGTTGATATGACAAATAAATCTTATTTTTACGTGAGGAATCTTCCCACGAAAGATGGCACATGTTTTTTGAAACACCCTGTATAATATTGTCCAAAAAACATTTATGACATTTGTTGAAATGCTGATTCAGTATGGTTTATTGAAAAATGAAAATAAAAAAGTATTCTGATAATTTCTTTCTTTAAAATTTTATTTGCATTAAATTACTAAAAACAGTATTTATTATTTGTAATATTTTTTTCTATCTAGAAAATACCTCTAATAAAAATCTATTAAAAAAATGCGACACTTACAAGAGTCTTGCAGCAAGACTGGACCCAAGAGCAAGACTGGACCCTGCTAGACCAAGACCAAGGAGGTCTTGCTCTTGCCATTTCTCATCACTATTACCCCCGGTGTTTTCAGGTATAGATAGCGCGTTATAATCCGCCAGATATATTTTATTTGATGGATAGCAGAAAAAAGTGTATCTTCACCTATAGATACCAATATCTATTAGATAAAATAACCTTATCCATCAGATATCCTATTTGAGACCTGAACTGCCAAATATCGCTTTATTTGTCAGATAAAAATTTGACACATGAGGAGATTTTGATTTAATTTAATAAAATTGCTTAACATAACCTAAGACATTATTACTATTGTATATTTCGTTTATTTCAATAAATTCGATTTTAGATTATTTCGAAAAGACTTACCTATTCTGAGTATGTAGACTATAATCATTTTAGAACGTATGAGGTATAAACACTAATAAACACATTGAAATGGTGCAAAAAACTATTGTTGCTGATGCTGGATTTTATAAGGAGTGTTACAAAATAAAAGGAGCCTCTGTTAGAGCATTAGAACGAAAAGAATGCATTAAGTTAGGATAATAGTGATGAAATATATATACAATTACCGAGTAAAAATATAACTCAACGGCAATTTATAGATTATTTTACTTAAATCCCTTCAACCATTACGTACTTAATAAAGCTCTAAAGTAGGTAAAAAATAAATAAAACTCTTGGAATCAAACTATTTATTTCATTTTTAATTCGCATATCTCAGTTCATTAATATTACAACAGAAACCTTAGAAAACCTGTCATTCAATTCACATTTGCTTTTATTTCTTGTGTTACAATTTTAATTTAATTTCTTGCACTATGTACCTTATACTTTATACATCTCTTCTTCATGCTGTTTTTTATAAGTAACTCTCTAGCTAAACCTTTTTTAAAACACCTCCTTTGAATACCAGTTAGTTCAACTTTTTTTACGGTTAAAAGGTTTATTAATATCAACTTTGTTTACACAATATTTTTCCTTTATTTTTTCCTGGTTTTTTTGAAGTTTCATCACTTTGAGTTCTTAAAAATAAAAGTACAACAAAATTGTTTTATATTTATTATTTTTTATTAAAAAATTTGTACATATGTGTTAATGTAACAATTATTATAGGTGCTCTTAATTTATTATTAATCAAGACAAAAGTATATATAGTCTGTCCAACGACAAGATCCTTGACAGTGATAGATGTGTCTGTCATTTCAAAGAAGTTTATTTTATTTTACAAAGAAATAAGTTGGTACAATTGGAACTAATAATTAATATGTTTAAATTTTGAGTGACAAGTGATTACTTCAAAATATTGTGAAAAAAAACTATATAAAATTGAAAAAATCTAATCTTGGTTAATTAACTTTAATCTTATTTTTTTTCTGCAGTACTAAAATGTATTATTTACCTATCGTGTGATGTTATTTTACAGATACTCCAGTTTTTGGTACCATATACGAGATGGTATACAATTATATTTGTGGCTAATACAACTCTCTGGTCATGGTCTCTGGCAAACTGTGTCTCTGGCGGTCTCTGTGCACCGAATATTAACTGTAAACTATGGTCTGGGTCAACACTTAATTTTCCCTCGAGTTTTCCTCCACTTAATTTTAAAAAACACGAAACACAAGCAACAACACAGTCCAAAATGCAAAATGTAAAATATTTATCATTTCTATTTGTCATATTTTGACACAAAATTATAACCTATAATTTGGCCAGAGTTTGACAATTCTCAAAAATCTTAAGTCGAGTTCATACGCATAGGCGTCCGTTTGTCGTTCATCGTTGCGTCAAACCAATAATATAAAAAATATGATCTGTCATTTTTTAAATAAACCAATAAAACTGGTTAAAAACAACAAGAGACGACGCATGACGTATTTATTTATAAACTCATCCATAGTTAACTTAAAAAATATTAGAAACTTTTTTTAGTGAAATAAATGGATTGGTATGGAAGTAATCTACTTTTTTTCTGTCATCGTCTGTCGAAATCTTACCTGTGAAAAAAAACAGAGTATATTTAAAATCATCTACATATATAAAATGCTAATGTTTATCTGTGTCGTCTCTACTGAAGTAACGACTTGCTCTAGAAAGTTGCTTTTTAATAAAAGATAGCTAATTGGCTCTTCTAAAAACTGTCGTCGCCGGATTTTTTGTTTTTCATTTAATTAAAAAAAATAATAGGTATTTTTTTTCCTGATGTCGCTGTCGTGGCGGATGCGCCAGGCTTCAACTAGTATACCAATAAATGAGGAGATAAAACTGCAGTACTGGTCTTTGGGGTTATATACTTATTCTCAATCGTGCTTTTCTAAATAAAAATAATATAAGTACATTTATCTATTTTATAAAATAAAAACTCACCTTAATTACTATCATCGATGCTATCCTACCTATTTCTTTATTATGAGAAGCCCTACAACAATACTGTTACGTTTTTCGTCGGTTCCGTGTGGATAGAAAGTCACAATTTATTTAAACACTATTTATTTAACACTAATTAACAAAAAAAACAATAACGATAAAAGACTTATAGAACTATTTACAAACGATTTATAACTAAGAATTTATTTTGAATTT